CTGGCTCTTTTGAGCTCACTTTTCTTTTTCTAAAAACTTCTTAGGTCTTGGGAGTGGTGATGAGGTCATTGACAAGAGTAGGGTTGACTTAGGCATATTTTTGGAGACTTGAGGTTTAGGTGGAGGCTATAGTCTACTTTTGTACTAGCTGTTGCGTTGGTGTTTAGTTTGGTTTATGTAATTATTGAAACAACATAGCTTGGAGACTAGTGTAGCTCCCATTTTGTGACTTTACATTTAGTTTTTGGTTTTATGTGTGGATTATGGACCGTGTTACTGTTACCATGTATATATTAAGTGTTGTGTTTAATGGAGGTCAATGAAGAGACTTTTGAATTATTAGCTTAGCATTAGCTAGTTTGCTTACCTATGTTGTTATCAAGCAGGTTGAGAATTATTCCATGTGTTCGGTGATTATCTCACGTTCCGTCGGGAGCGGGGTGTGACGCTGGTCGTTTAGGTGTATTACGGTTATGATTAGCTCTTTGAGTGAACCTTTGGTGTGCATTTATAGGGCTAAAGGGTGTTGAGGTGCTGATGTAAATTGTATTTGATAATTTTGTGCAAGCGGAAGATCGAAATAGGGCACTTGTTGTAGATAGTCTCATTATTCCTTGTTCGGGAAGTGTCTGAATTTCCACTTACGGAAATTGTTTTAAATAATGGGGGGTACAATTAAATCTTCCTATGTGCTAGGCTTTTTTCTCTTCAATTATCTACACATCAAAGGTTTGCTTATCAAGCAGGTTGAGAATTATTCAAGGTGCTTGGTGATTTTCTCACGTTTTCGCAGGGAGCAGGGCTTGACAAATATTTATTTTCTGAACTCCATTTATAAAGTTTGTTGTAATTTGTAATCTAATTTCATGGCTAAACAAAAGATTACTGATGATAAAGAATGAAAGAAAAGTAAAATGAAGAGAGAGGGAGAGAGAATTGGCTTAAGTAGAATTTCTAAACCCTTTATAAAATTTGGGACTTGTTGAAAGAAGGAAAGAGAATTCTAGTAAGAGAGAAATCATTTATAGAAATAAAAAAAATATAAATAAATAAGGTAAACTGAAATGTTGCTGGGAAAAAAAATAGCTCTTTGTCGATAATAGAACAGAGAACCTATAGAGGAAGAAAGGGGTTTGTGATTAGAAGAAGAGGGCAAAAAGAAAAGGAAAAAAGAAAAAAAGATAGAGAAAGATGTTTATTGAAGGAGAAGAAGGTCCACCGCCAACCAAGTTTTGATGATTAGTTATAGTAAGTTCAAAACTTGTTTGCAAAATAGAGCAAAATTCTTACCATTTTATCTTTGCAATCTTTTAAAATTCCAGGAAATAGCCGTAAAAAAAATCAAGTAAATAAAATTGTGTGATGAATTACATTTGGAAAACTTCGTATTTGATATCCATATTGTTGAAACTTTTCATAGAATTTAAAATATTTTATGTTTAACCTATCTTTTTTTATTTTTTATTTTTATTTTTAAAAAATCCTCTCTGAATCAGACACGCATGTTCACTGGGTGTCCACAGTGTTCCTACGCTGTGTCCAAAAAGAAAAATATTTAGACACATTTTTGGCGTGAAAGGCAAGAGTTGCTATTGGGCCACGTCTGACCACCCTTGTTCTTTTCCGTGCTTCATAGTTTACCATGGTAGATTACATTCCGATTCTTAGCCCCACTACATATCCTGCTATAATTCTATTTAGATAGAGAAGTCCCCGCATCTTTTCATGATACCTTTTCAAAGACACATCCTATAGGAGATTCTTACCTTCTCTATCATTGCGCTTCTTCATGGGCCTTTTTTTGGGTACCTCCAAAGGCATTTGCCTTGCAAAGTATGATTGATCACCTTATTTATTTATTTATTTTACAGTAGCTCCTAACCTTTATTTATAAACAAACTTATTCTACTACACCTTATAGAATTTGAAATCCTCTTTAACCCTCCTTATTAAAAATCTCGTTAGAGCTTCTGGAGCCCCTTATCAATCAACTTTGGAGAGGCAAAAAGGATGTAAAATAAGCATGGGCTTGAGGGCATTCTCTTAATAGAAATATTGTCGCTTCGACATAGACAGGCTTTGATGATGTGTTTTTTTTTTTTTTTTTTGAGCAACTGCATTACACCAACCTTAACTTTGAATGAAGAGTACAAGGGGAGCCTCAATTAGATGGTAGGGAAATCTGTGACCTAGCATCCCAAATTGTGGCCCAAGGCATCAACATCATCCACTTCTCAGATTAAAATGCGCTCGGTTTTCCCCATATTCATCCGCGAGCCTAATATTGTTTTGAAGAAAAGAAACATACACCGTTGATAACTAAATTGTGCAAGGAAATATGTGAACTTGCATCCCAAATTATGTTCCAAGGCATTCACATCATCCATTTCTCAGATAAAAATCATGTTTTCCCCCATATTCAACGGTGAGCCTAATAAAGAAAGATACACCGTAGATATCTAAATTGTGCCTGAGTCTTGATGTGTTCCCCCTCCTCGGCCACAATCACAACCACACGTACTCTATAGCCCTCCTCAACAAAAGATAAGATGCGTAATATGGGGGGAGAGGGTACCCACCTGAACACCTGAATACTTGTCATATGTGACCACATGACTGATATGATTGGAGAATTTCCCAATCTTTCTGTGCTCTCCACACATTCACCAATAAGATAAGTTCACCTTAATTGAGGGTCCCATAGTCCTCTCATAATTGCTTCCACTAACTGCCTCCGCAACTTGTATTTCCAGAACCAATTTCTCAGTCTCCTTAAACACCTGGATCTCAACTCTCATTTGTGGTATTGTACCATTTCAATTCTTTGGTCTTGATATCTATGTCGTTGGATTGTCTCATTTGCTGTCTTTTGATTGGTAGCCATTTATCACAACTACTAAGTACTCTGTAGATAAAACTACTGATTCATTTTTTTTCCCTTGCAATAAAGCTTTCAGCCAACTTAAGTGCAATAATAAATTAACAATCATAATCAATCACTCTGGAAGAAGAATAATTTGTTAAGGAACAAAATATGGAAAAGTCGAACTCCAAATTTGGAACTCCAAAGAACAGCAGTATATCTATATAAATGGAGGGGAAACCCTATATCATAGGGAGTTTCTAAGAAGAATTAGAGAATAGTATTAGTTTTTCTCTTTACTAAATCGGCATTTTCCATTGATTTGACCTTTAGTTGAAATTATTTCCTAGTGCGCATATTTAGAACTATAGCAAATGTCAAAAGGCGATATGGGATCCGATAATTCTGGCTTAAGGCCGTTGAAACAAGGGCTTGTATTCCAGTGGAGGCAAAGGTAGCTTTCAGTCGCTTAAACCAGCTAGAAATGGTTGTAGCACTTCATTCCCTCATCCTAGGGATTGTAATGCTCATGGCGAGTGTTTGATTATTGGTTGAGCAAAGCGAAGGGGGTATAGGTGAGCTAGAACACCAAGTGAGCAAAGCAAATGAGCATGATAAGAGAGAAACGAATAATTGGTGAAGAAGCTAGTATTATAAGATATGCGCAGTCATGCATGTATATGCACCTATTCAGTATCATGTTTGCTTAATCTTATAATTTCAGATGATATAGATCTGGAGGACATCCCTTTCAGATTGACAGAATTAGGTTGGATCTTCTCTATTATGTTACGATTGCGACTCTAATCGAACTTTCTTGATTTATAATTAGGACTATGATCCTAGTGGTAGTGATTAGTACACTGATATTGCACTCCAATTCCTAGACTTGACAGGAGAGCAATAGAGGGCGTGGGATTAATATACTGAGAGATGAGGAATTTGAATACCCTATGGAGTGTAACTGTACTACTTTGAAAAATTCTGAGGCAGCTTTAAAATATGCGAGGGAGTGGCAGAGGACAGTAAGGGGGTCTTCAGCTCCTCCCTCAAATTATGCATATGCTGTGTACTGCCTGATTGATGAAACCAATGTGAGTGTGGTACTTTATAAAGTACATTTCATTCAGAAAGTAATACCTTCACCTTATCTGGATAATTGAGTTCCTGACAAGAGTGAGTTCTTGGCTGCCTTGACTTTAGCAAATAATCCTGTTGCACAAGTCCATTTTGTTTATGCATGGAGAGATTTTGAATTTCACAATGTTCTTATAGTTTCAGCTTTTGAAATATATGATTTCTTACTTCAACACAGACAACATGCTCCTATATAAGGTATACATATTTGATAGATTGTGTGTATTTGCCAAGCAAATCTTTGTGGCCACTTGATTTTGAACCTTTCAGATCTATCACCATAATTCAGGAATCAAAGTATGAGTGAATCTAACAAAATAGATTGCTCTAGTTTTGCATGAAGTTTGTTTAATGGCTGATTTCAATGATGCGGAGTATGTTCTTAACATACACTTGCACAACTGTAAGCTGCCAGGAATCACCCTAAGCGTGTATGCTCATCACTTCTTTTGACAAGGATTTTCCTCATTTTATTACAAACAGTAGAACAACCAATGTCTTAAACCACTAAGGTTGTGCTCGGGGTAAACAAGTAAAGAAGTTAATTGTCATGATTTTTTGGTTCGTTTTTTGTCAATGATGGAATTTGTTTTTTGCCTTTATTTAGTTGATACTGGATCTGCTATCAGTGGGGAAGCCACCGCTGCTTCACTAATATATTTTTGCCACAAAAACTGAAGTCACTATAGTCTATAGCAAACAGGATCTGACTAAAGTGAAGTCTGATGAAGTGCAATTTTGCATGACTTCTATTTGGTGTTGGTATTGGCTTTCACATCGTATTACTCTATTAATCTGTTGGTTAACAATAGGAACGTTGAGCCGAAAATTGACTTCTGCTAGTTTTGTTATTCTGAGAGAGTTTGGACGCTCTCAGATGCATTAAAGTGCCATTTTTTATTTTTTATTTGGGTAAGTACTGATTTTTAGTTTTGTTATGGGCATTATAGCATAAACTTTGAATGTTTAAATTAATTTCTTTTCATTCTTTATTTTCCAGTTCCTTCCACTCCCTTCAGTAGCTGGATTTTATTTGGCTCGTTTTTTTACAAAGAAGAGTCTGCCATCATACTTTGCCTTTGTTGTGCTCGGGAGCTTGATGGTCTCGTGGTTTGTGCTGCATAATTTTTGGGATCTCAATATATGGATGGCAGGAATGCCTTTGAAGTCGTTCTGTAAGCTCATAATTTTATGTGTTGTCTTGGCCATGGCTATTCCTGGTTTAGCTCTTCTTCCATCGAAGCTTCAGTTTTTGACTGAAATTGGTTTGATCAGCCATGCACTGCTGCTCTGCTACATTGAGAATCGCTTCTTTAATTACTCTAGCATATACTATTATGGGTTGGAGGATGACGTGATGTATCCGAGCTATATGGTTGTCATGACAACATTTGTGGGTTTGGGTCTGGTGAAGAGGCTCTCTGTGGATCATCGAATTGGACCAAAGGCAGTGTGGATACTGACTTGCCTCTATTCTTCTAAATTGGCAATGCTTTTTATTGCATCAAAGACTGTTTTATGGGTTTCTGCTGTTCTTTTGATGGCTGTATCTCCTCCATTGCTTCTTTACAAGTATATACTAGTTTGTTTGTATTCATTATATACTTTGATTACTTTTTCTATAAAAAACATAAAACTCATAAAATTCACTCATTAACTTCACAGGGACAAGTCAAGAACGGCCTCAAAGATGAAACCTTGGCAAGGTTATGCACACGCTGGTGTGGTTGCTTTATCGGTTTGGTTTTGTCGTGAGACAATTTTTGAAGCTCTTCAGTGGTGGTACGGTAGACCTCCATCTGATGGTTTACTTTTGGGCTTCTGTATTCTTCTAACGGGGTTGGCTTGTGTACCCATAGTTGCTCTCCACTTCTCTCATGTCATGGTATTGATAGTCTTCCTTCGTTCGTTTTACCTTTCTTTAGGAGTTGTAACTTTCTAATTCTCCTCCTTTCATAAGAATTGAAGCTGCTATATGAATACTGTTCTATGTCCTGTATTCCTATCCATATGCGTTTCAGTAAGTTATTAATCATTCATATTCATGAGTATTTCCAGAATAATTTTCCAGTGGAAAAGTCGACAATTTGGATTAGAATTCAGGCTGATCAATGATTAAGGATTGCCAAGTGAATATTCTTCTTTCTTTTTTATTTTTATTTTTATTTTTTAAAAAACAGCCTTTGGAATTTTTGTTTATATGAAATGATAATCAATGGATAATGAGTTACAACATTTTATGAGTGTAAGATCTTGAAGAGAAACCATTTCAGCATCATGTTTATACTTGTCCAGATTTATTACTCTAATTTTTTCCAAGTTACAGATTTTTTGTACTTCGATTGAACTAAAGGACTCATTTCCCCTTTTCCGGTGCAGTCTGCTAAGAGATGCTTGGTGCTGGTGGTGGCAACAGGTCTGTTGTTTATCCTGATGCAGCCACCAATTCCATTATCGTGGACTTACCGCTCCGACCTAATCAAAGCTGCCCGTCAATCTGCTGATGACATCTCCATATACGGTTTCATGGCATCAAAGCCTACTTGGCCGTCATGGTTGCTTATCACAGCGATCCTGCTTACTCTCGCTGCAGTAACCTCCATCATTCCTATTAAGTACATTGTTGAGTTGAGGACATTTTATTCCATTGCCATGGGGCTTGCTCTGGGGATTTATATATCTGCTGAATATTTCCTTCAGGCAGCGATCCTGCATGCCCTTATAGTCATAACCATGGTTTGCACTGCTGTATTTGTGGTCTTCACGCATTTTCCGTCTGCCTCAAGTACAAAGTTACTACCATGGGTGTTTGCATTACTTGTGGCTCTCTTTCCTGTGACATATTTATTAGAGGGCCAGGTGAGATTCAAAAACTTACTCGGAGGTGGAGTTGGAGAGGTGGGAGAGGATGACAAAAATCTGACAATGTTACTGGCTGTTGAGGGGGCAAGGACATCGCTCCTTGGTTTGTATGCAGCTATCTTCATGCTTATAGCACTGGAAATAAAGTTTGAACTTGCCTCACTTATGCGAGGAAAGGCACTTGAAAGGGGAGGAATTAGACATAGCCAATCTGGTCAAAGTGGCTCCACCAGTTTTGCTCCAAAATCAAGGTTCATGCAGCACCGTAGGTCCTCAACCGTGCCGACCTTCACAATCAAGAGGATGGCTGCTGAGGGAGCCTGGATGCCGGCAGTTGGCAATGTTGCTACTGTGATGTGCTTTGCTATATGCCTTATATTGAATGTCAGTCTCACTGGCGGCTCAAACCGTGCAATATTCTTCTTGGCACCGATCTTGCTGCTTCTCAATCAGGACTCTGACTTTGTTGCCGGATTTGGGGACAAGCAGAGGTATTTCCCGGTTATAGTAGTAATCTCAGCTTACTTGGTCTTGACTTCTCTATATAGCATATGGGAAGAAATCTGGCACGGGAATGCTGGTTGGGGGCTCGAAGTTGGAGGACCAGATTGGTTCTTTGCAGTAAAGAATGTGGCCCTCCTCGTGCTCACATTCCCCAGCCATATCCTGTTTAACCGGTTCGTGTGGAGCTACACAAAGCAGACTCACTCGGCGGCACTGCTCACAATCCCCCTTAATCTGCCACCCGTCATAATGACGGATGTGATCAAGGTTAGGATATTGGGACTTCTCGGAATCATATATTCCCTCGCCCAATATCTTATTTCTAGACAACAATACATCTCTGGTTTGAAGTATATTTAGGCAAAATGAATACTATGTACAATATATTTTTGGCAAAATTTTTCAATTGAGGTTTGTTGCCACCTTCGGCTCGTGGCTCGTGCTTAACTGCTTATTTTCATTTGGGTTTTTGTTGTACCATGCCCTGTAGTATTAGCAAGCCGTTCCAGTGATATAGTTGTAGCAAATAAGCACCTGGGTAAATCATTGTTTGGCTGTTATTATTATTTTCCCTGGTAAGAAATGAATAGCATTTGGTTGAGCATGTTTTTGGTGGTATGTCTTCACGACCTTGTCATGTGGTGTGAGGTGGGGACGCTATGGTTGACTAAATATGGATGTTTTACTAAACGAGAAACATTTTTTGTTTTCTGTTTTCAACTTTTAAAAATGCAAAACGAAAATAAAAATCGCGTTCACTAAAATGTTTTTGTTTTTTTATAATAGAAAACGTTTTTAATTTTTGTGAAGAAAAGAGGAAATATCAAAATGATGTTTCTTATGTTTTTGGCATTGTAGTGCAGAAATGTTTTCACTAATGTTACTGTGCAGGCACTATTCACTTCAAATAAAATTTATATTATATACTAAGTTGCATATTAAATGTTAATAAAAAAATATATTTTTAATGTAGAATATATTAAATATTGTATATTATTTTTTATTTGATAAAAATATATTTTAATATATAATATATTAAATAATAATGTAAATTATTTTTTGTGACAAAATAATTTTTGATATAGAATATAATGTTATTAAATTATTAAGCTGATATTTTATATTATTATATATCATATCTATATTATATTATATGTAAATATTAAATTATAATTAATTTACAGTATTAGAACACAATATATATTTTATTACATATAAGATATATTATTTAATATTTTTTTTACATAATAAATTATCATATGCTAAATATATTATACATCACATAATAAACGTATACATCATGCATATACATGTATTTATATACATAATTGGTGGGGATGTTTTTGTCCTGGTATATCTAATTTTGTATTTATGATATATTGGGTATTTTTAAGATTTATAATTTTAAATTAGATTTTCTAGATTTATGACTTTTTGATATTAATGAAAGAAAGTGTGCCTGAGTGGTTGGGTTGTTCCCTGTGTCCGAGAATTCGTGTTCAAGTCATCTATCATCATCTCTAATCATTAACTGATAAAATTCTTGCCATTAAAAAAATAAAAAATTTAAAGAATATTATGTACATTTTGTAACAAATATGTTGTATTACTAAACACCGTTATTGTTTTATGTTTTCAAATTTGTGGCAACAATAAGTGTTAATAAACATCATTTCTGTTTTCTATTTTCACTCAAGAAAACAAAATCATGTTTCTGCTTTCTTAAGACTGCAAAAATAGAAAACGAAGACGTTACTAAACGCACCCTATACTTCAAGAACTGTCTTTGTCTCAATTAGGCAACTTGTGTTGTAGGAACTTTACCGTCTAAGCCTTCAGCCTTGTGATGGTGTAATTTTTGTGGTTCCTTGGGATACACACTTTCTATGAGGAAAATTCCATCCGCCTAGTTCGGGATGGATCTTACAAAAAGGTTGAGATATCCGTGGATGAAATGTTTAGCAAATATCCTAACATATTGGACGGAATATGTCTTATTGTTCTTTAGCGGTGGGCAAATAATACATAAATCTGATCCGATCCAATCCGTGCGGATGAGATCGGATTGCTATACTCACGGATTGGTGGCAGATTTTAAAAAATCGAATCTATAGCTCACGGATTGAGCTGTTAAAAGTCAAGTTTGATCCGTGAGTCCAATTTAATCCGTGATATATATATATATATATATATATATATATATAATAATTAAAGAATATATTAGTTAGTTTAATCGGTTGATGATCATTTAATAGACTATAAGAATGATTATATATTTGAAATATATATTTGAAATTTTATCTATTGGGTAATGGTTAAAAAATAAATAATATTGGACTATTTAGGAAAAACCCCAATTCGCGAATTCAATTCGATTCAATTCGTCATTCAACTGATCCAATCCGATCCGATTTGTGGGATAACGGATCTGTGACGGATTCAAAAAATTTCAATCCATTGGGAGCGGATCTGATTAGGATTAATGCCTAATCTGATCGAATCCGATCCGTGGTCACCCCTAGTTTCACTGGAGATGATTCAGTTACTACTTTTCTGTAAGTAAGATACCTCCTCCCCCCTATATATATTATTGACGATGATGGTGTTAGAAAAGACACTATATTTTCAAGTACATAAATCACAAGAAATGATGTTTATTTTACAACCGAGTCATGATGCTTATTTTACCATGAGTCACAAGGTTAAGGAGGCATACTCCAGGGAACAACCACACACCAATCCAAACTAATCAAAAGTTTCACATGTTACTGCCCATGACAACACACATTTAGCTAATATCAATTTATCATATATTCTAGATATATCATTATATCCATCCATCTTAACAGCTATATAAAATTTATTTAGTCTTTTAATATGTATATTTATTTTAACATATTTATTTCCTTATTCTATATATATCATTATATCCATCCATCTTAACAGCTATATAAAATTTATTTAGTCTTTTAATATGTATATTTATTTTAACATATTTATTTCCTTTATGTTGAAGAAAATTTTAAATTGAATTCTAAAATGTTTCAGACCACTTTTGCACCCAAGGATTTATATGGATGGTCCGTAGGTTTGGCTTTTGCTCTTTCATTTTTGTCTATTAAGGACATGTTCATTGAACGTTTTTCTAATATATTTTTTAGTTATAAAAAAAAAGGATTTATATGGCTTTCTTCAATGTTAGTAAATCAATCCCTTTCTTTAAATGAGAAAACATTATAGAATATACCAAATAAAGAAATTCCATCGATTCATGTATATTTTTTTGGAAGACAAATCTAATTTTATGCATCTCTTCTTACGAGTATCACCAATTCAATCGGCCACTGGCCACTGGTTGTTTCGATAGAGAGGAAAAAAAATCATACTTTGAAAGAGAAGAATTGAAAGATTTTGAGTGAGGAATCCAATTGTAGCAAGGTAACTAATTGGATGAGAAAGAACCACGGCGTTTTTAATCCAAACGATACCATATTTATTAGTTAATTAAGTTGTTGATGTGGCGCCTTAATAATGGTAGGATTAAATAATTGTAGATCTTAGGAGTCAAATTTTCTTGGAGACTGATACCATATTTATTAATTAATTAAGTTGTTGATGTGGGCCTCATAGGATTAAATACTTGTAAATGTTAGGAGATAAATGTCCTTGGAGAGGATCTTTTCCCAATTGGGACTTGACTAGTTTCCAGAATTACAAATGTAGAACAGGAAACTAAATCAAACTAAATAAAGAGAGAATCACAAAAAGATTATAATAAGGAAAAGTGAACTCTCCTTAAATAGAATGGTCTAACTTTGTACTCTATCACGTCTTCTCAAGCGCAAGGTCTAGGAAGGACGCTAAGCTTGGACCGATGCATATGAAATTACATTGCAATGTGCTTCATGCGCGAGTGAAACACGGGATTGGAGCACAAGTAAGTGGCTCCAACATTGTCACAGTATTGTCGACTCCAAGTTTATGCATTTTAGTTATCAGTGATATATTTATTGTTTAAAAATCTTCTACTAAAATTTTTATTGTTAAATGCAGCCATAATTTCTATTTTCTAATGAATACAACTACTAAACATTTTTTTATCAACACCCACATTTTAAAGTGCAATTGTAGTATTCTGCAGTTGATATGTCTTTTTACTTTAATATAATGTTTATAGAAAACAAGTTAAGTTTTGACTACAAGAAGTTTAGTATTGTGTTTCATCATTGCCCATATATTTCTTTGAAAAAAGGTAACTGCTCTTTCAAAGCCTTTCAAAATTGTTACAAAGTTCATTACTTATAAAAATGTAATTATTTTTTAGGACTCTAATACGATGGGTTCACAATAAATAAAAGCAATTATTTGTCAGGTCTCGAGTTCACGACAAATTGTTAGTCTTTTCTTAATTTTTTAATAGATTTTCTTAAACTCAAGATTTTTGTACATTTTTCTTACATTATTCTTACAATTTGTAAGATAATTAATTATAATTTTCATAGATTTTATGAAAATGCATTAGTTGGTATAAGCTAGTTATATTTTATTCTATTTTAAAATAATAAAATATGTCATTTCGTTAATATAATTGATATATTATAAGTAAGGGTATTTTGGAAAAACTAATTTAAAAGTTATTCCATTCCAGCTTATTGTAAGGGTATTTTGGAGAAACTAATTTAAAAGTTATTCCATTTCAGCTTGTTAATTGGTCTGACGAAACAAGGGAATATGAATGATCATTCCACTACTGCATCATTCTCTATTTGCAGCCAAACATTGGAATGAGAATCATCATTCCATTCTTATATCATTTTCATTTCATTTTTGGCTCATTCCATTTTTGCGTATCAAACATGCCCTGAATGCATTAGAGATGTGCTCATGCGAATTCTTGTTCCTTTAAATGCATATAGATGGGATCCTCGCATATTCTTCTCCTCCAATGAATTTATAATCTAACTGTTTCTTGAAATTGACATTTCTAAATTGATACCCATGCAAAAATTATTTAAAACTATGTATATTCAAATAAACTGCAGGAGTTCTAATTTTTACTCCAAAAAGTTTTCTGTAAGTGTTTCAAATATAATTAACTGTTATTATCAACTGTTTATATTATCAACTGTTTATAAATAAATCAACTATTTATTATATATCGATCCATTTATAATTTTGGTATCAGAGCCATGCTGGCTTAAAATATTATTGTTAATGCTTCTTAGGTACTGGTAGCATGATTATTATCGTAATTATCTAATGAACAATGTGACTACTATTCTGTCTAACTTATGTTTATCCCTGATTCAATTATGGGTCGTCCAAAAGTCGCGTTGGAATGTTTAGCCCGCTTTTTGCATTAAATTGCTGCACAGGGTATTATTTCCAGTAAATCGTTGACAGACGAGTAATAGAATCTCTCTTAAGCAGAACGACGACAGAATAGTAACTTACTGTTCATTATATAATATTATAATATTTATACTATACAGACCTTAAAGCATTAACAATAATTAACAGACATACTAAAACCATCTTCTTCCTCCTCTTCAGGAGTATAGGAAAACCAAGATTCAGAATTGGTAAAAAATACTGAATTAGTGG